AGATCTGTGAATTCTTACAGAAAATCACGTAATCTCTCACAATCATATGAACTCGGTCATCTCAAAGTGAATATGTCCAAAATGGAACACATAATATTTCCTTCAAAATTGGATACCTGTGTCCGATATTCATATTGCTTTCTACTTCCTGACTTCTCCATCCTTAATTTATTCAAAAAATTCTACTAAAAGGAAAGAAAAATGAAAAGTAAAAATCTCTAACCTTTACCTGGCAATCACATTTATACTTTCCAGAGATGACCTCTGCTAGCAAATTCATTGTGTGCATGCTAAGTCACTTCAGCCGTGTCGGACTCTTTGCAGCCCCATGGACTGTAGCCCACCTCGTTTCTCTGTCCATGGAATTCTCCAGGCAAGAATCTTGGAGTGGGTTGCCATCCCCTCCTCCAGGAGATCTTTCCAATCCAGAGATTGAACCCGCATCTCCTGCATTGGCAGGCGTACTCTTTACCACTAGTGTCACCTGGGAAGCCCAAGGATCTAATCAAAGTCCAAAGAAAGGGGAGGAAAAGGACAATACCAGACAAATCTGTACCCTTTGATTGCAAAAGCAAAAATTCTCAGAAATTCCCTTATGTCTTATTGGTTAGAAATGTATCACACTGATATCTTTAGTTGCAGGGGAGGTTGAAATGCAGGTTTGTCACTCAGGGTTGGTCAGAGAACTGCAAACAAAACCAGAGTTCTGTTAATAAGGAATGTATCTGGGGCTGTATATGAGGCTTCTCAGGTGGCTCAGTGGAATGTGTTGCCAATGCAGGAGACACAGAGATGCATGAGACACAGGTTCGATCCCTGGCTCAGAAAGATCCCCTGGAGGAGGGCATAGGCAATCCACTCCAGTATTCTTGCCTGGAGAGATCCCATGGACAGAGGAGCCTGTCAGGCTACAGTCCATGCGCTGCAAAAGATTCAGAAACAACTTAGCAACTGAGCACTTCTAGGGCTGTATTGGGTGTACACCTTAGCCCAGTGGCTCAGCACTTAGGAATTCTTGTGTATATTCTTTGTCTAACATGGGAAGAGATAGAATGAATAAAACTCGGCTACAGATGCCTTCCCACTCTCACCTCTTTTTTTCCATTATTTCTTCCACATGTAAAATTGAACATAAGGCACCTGCAGTTTGTCTCAACTCCCTCCCTTTTTCTCCAGCGGTAGGTGCGGAAACTAGAACCCCTACCCAACCCAGTAGTCTGGGGTATCCTCTGCTTTCCAACCACCAATCAGTTGCCTTACCCATGCAAACCCTTCATATAGACAGTTCACTCTCCCAAATGCTTGGTTTCCTCTGTAAAGTCCCTTGGATTGATTTAAACAATTGGGAAAGAGAGTCATTTTTCTTGATCACATTGGCCTCTCATTTAGCACAGTATCACATCAAATAGGTTTGACTAATTCAGTTCTAAACCTCCCTAAACCTGGATTGATCTTCATGGTTTTAGATATCTCAACATAATACACTGCTAGAGTAAAAACAAAAACCTGTACTTACTATACATCATAAAAGACTTTTTTGTTGTCGTGATTTCAAACCCTTATAGAGTCAACTTGAATAATAATCTGGGCCTGGTATATACTCTTCTGAATCCTCTCTTCAAAATACTTCTAAGACCACCCATAATGGGTGAGACTCACTGTTAATGGCAAAGCCTTTTTTATGTTTTTAAGTTCAACTAATACTACTGTAATAACTTGCTAATACTAGTTAAGTTGCTAGAAATAAAAAATAAATGATTATATTGCCAGGCATTAGTTTCCTTTCAGTAAACGACTACATCTTCTTGTAAGACGTGTAATTTGTTAATGAAGTGAATTGCAATTCTCTAACATTCTGATTTTTACATGAGGATTGCTCCTACATGCAGCTTTGTAAACCAGCACACTAATAGGTGCCTTCAGAATTTCATCAAGAACTCCAATTTTCCTTTATTGACAAAAATTCCTGCAATTCTGGAAACTAAAAATAACAAGAAAGCTAAATCTAAACAACGAGGTGACACAGTTGAATGAAATTCAAAAGTAAGCAGGCAGAAGGAGCCAAGGTGGTGGAGGAATAGGACGGGGAGACCACTTTCTCCCCTACAAATTCATCAAAAGAACATTTGAATGCTGAGCAAACTTCACAAAACAACTTCTGACCACTAGCAGAAGACATCAGGCGCCCAGAAAAGCAGCCCATCATCTTCGAAAAGAGGAGGACAAAATATAAAAGATAAAAAGAGACAAAAGAGCTAGGGACGGAGACCCGTCCCGGAAGGGAGTCATAATAGAGAAAGTTTCCAAACACCAGGAAACCCTCGCACTGGCGGTAGGGTTCTTTAGAAGCCATCTTTGTCCTATAGTTCCCTTCTAAAGATGGATAGGATAACAATATTTGTAACCCATTATTTTCTCCTTCATGATTACTCTGTCTCTTCCTAATGTTCCAATGTTCTCCAATGATTTCAAAGTCAGGATGTCTCAAACCATATGCTTGTGGAAAAATCTGGAAGGCCACAATGACTGGGCTGTGAAACGACATGAAATATGACAAAAATAGGGCATATTAAAAAACAACCAATTCTTGATGCAAAATGTGTGGTTAGGGAACCATTTGCTCCGGGATGGGGAAGCATACACCAGGCTAGTGTAACTAGGTTAAGAGCCCCTGAGGGCTATTATTAGCTCTGAATTCAAGCAACATCCAATTGCCATCAGTACTTCTCTGAGTTGGCATTTAAACTTTCAAAGGCTATCTCTGGATTACACCTGTCAGGACTTTCCAGGCAAGAATACTGGAATGTGTTGCCATTTCTTCCTCCGGCGGATCTTCCTGACCCAGGTATCAAACCTGTGTCTCTTGCGTCTCCTGTATTGGCAGGTAGATTCTTTATCATTGTGCCACCTGGGAAGCCCTTAGAAATTGCATAACTTTAAAACAAGGGCATCTGTCTTGCTTTTCTTAGAAAGCCATGGGTGCTACATTTGTTATCATTTAGAGACACAACTGAAGCAACTTAGGAGGAGGAGAGACACTTTTTAAAAATCTAATAAGGAAGTTGTATGGATGGGAGAGTTAGGGCTGTGGAGAGAATTTGGGCTGTGGAAGCAGAGGGACGGGGAGGAAACAGACAGTTGACCTCCTTGAAATGAAGATGACCCTGGAGTCCACAGAAAGATTCCCTAGGACTTCCCAGTAATAAGGCACCTCATTACCAGACTCTCGGAAAATGGTTTCCTTACTTTAAAATTACTGGATCAACATGTATATGTATGAATGAGTCCTTTTGCAGTCCAACTGAAACTATCACAGCATTGTTAATCAGCTATACTCCAATATAAGATAAAAATTTTAAAAATAAATAAAATAAAATGACTGTATCAAAATGGGAGAAGGGATACAATATGAAAACTATCCATGAGAGATCAAGGCAATTTAAAGTTATAAATGAGGTGATCAAGAAGGAGATAGAAAAAGTCCAAAGTCATCAGAGTACTGTAAAATCCACCATTTTTTTCCCCCACAAATTACGTTTCATTTTTCATTTGCCTCATCACATTGCACTGTGAATCCAACCACCATTACCACTGATGTTTTGATATGCAAACACGTAAGTATAGAATATCAATGGGCTTCCCTGATAGCTCAGTTGGTAAAGAATCTGCGTGCAATGCAGGAGACCCTGGTTGGATTCCTGGGTTGGGAATATCCCCCGGAGAAGAGAAAGGCTACCCACTCCAGTATTCTGGCCTGGAGAATATCAATACACTCTCCTTAACTATAATCTAAAATATAGAAATTTAAATTAACAAAGAGATTATTTACATGATGAATTAACCCTTCACTTTGCAAACACTTCTTCTACGTATAAAAGTATAAAAGCTTTTTGGGAAATTTTTTCATTTATCTATAGCCTGTGAAGAATTTACTATACAAGATGACCTTTAGAGATTATCAAGTAGGAATCCTTTTTATTTCATTCTTTCAAGGATCCATAACTCAATATCTACATCTCTAAAATGTATTAGAACTTAGTTTTCATAGACTAGCAGAGTATATCGACTGTTGGTTTAGAGGACACTATCTTTAAAGGACAAGGAATAACACAAACAAATAAAATTCACAAACATTTTAGTAAGGAAATAACTATATCATATTTTGATTTTTAAAAAAACCTGAGAGTGGGGATCTTACATTAAATTTATCTTTGAATTTCCAATGCCTAGCACAGTCCCCGGCACATAGTAAGAGCTGGGTATGTTTGAAATTGATGAGCAAGTCTCATCCGTCTCTGAACCCTGCCAGGATGTGAGATCATTAGGACATTCTGTGCTATGGATGACAATTGACAGTGACTGAAACAGGCAGCAGAAGAACAGAAGGAGGAAAAAAGAAAAGTCATGGAGGAAAAAATCTCCATGGCCTGGAGGAATAGAGCAGGTGGAGATAATGAATTAAGGAGAAAATGATAATAAACCTTACCTTTATGTTCTTATGATTTTTAAAAATACTTTACAGGATTCTTTCTCTCTTGCTTCTCACTATTCCTCTGTGAAGTACGAGGTTATTTAATATATATAAACCCCAGAATTTAGAGAGAAATGAAGGAAATACAACCATTTTTATTTTTACTGTAAAATATTAGCTGCTGCTTAAAGAGGAAACAAATGAGTTTAGCTTTTTCCACAAATAGGGTGAAGGGTTAAAAGTATTATATAATCAGATAAACCTCAAGGTGAAAGTCATGAACTGGTTATTTTCCAAGAAAACTTTTATAATTCATGAAATAAGCAATTAACTGCCCGGTAATTGTATACGACTGTCCTACACTGCTCCCCATACGACTTTTTCCCCAGAAGAATGGAATTTAAAAAGCATGGAAGGTTATTTAAATTATTGTATAAACCTGTGCTGAGAAAACTGCCCCAAATCTCAACAAGAAATGGCTGTATTCAACTGGACTGCCGTTTCACTTAGCCTCTGGCAAGTAACTTACCTTGAAAGTCTCCACCGCCTCTTTGGATCCGCCTTCTCCAGTACCTTCTGCGGAGCATCCATTATTGCAGTCCTTAAAGAAGAATTAAATCCATTAAGTAAAACTAGGTGTCTCACTGGGGTCTGGGGTAATCAATATCACTCACCATCACACCCTTGGCTGCGCTCGGGTCTGGTCCCCAAGCAAACAGGAAAAAGAGGATCAAACACCCAGGCACTAGCCCCAAAGGAGAGCGTCCTGCGAGAGCTGTCCTTCTCTTTCTGCCCTGTCGGAGGTCGCGGCTGTTTTTTTCCTTCACCGCTGGCTTCGAGCAGACTGGTTAAATTCCAGATTCGCCCTGCTGCGCCAGGGTTCACCAGCAAAGAACAAGAAAGTAATTGTCTCCCTATTATCCGAGGAAATAGTCTAGATTAGGGCTTAAAGCCATTAACAGAGAAATCTCCTGGGCGCACTCAGCCTCGTGGTCTTGTCGATCATGGGCGCACAATAGCAAGCCTGGAAAAGCGATGGGGACCAGAGTGAACCATTTCCTCCACGGGTAGGGTCCTCCAATGCAGGCGCAAGGACACCCGTTAAGGACAGAACTCATGGAATGAGGGCGTAAAATTTTAAAAACACTTAAGGACGCAATGGAAACAGGTCAAACAGGAAAAGGTACTGACCTTCAAAAAAAAAAAAAAACCTAATCTGCTACATCACTAGGGGAAAGAGGAGGAAGAAAAGGATTCAGGGAGGCAAAAAGCTACGGACAAAATATTTTCGGGTGGCGAAGGCACGCAGGACGTGGCTGTCAGTTCTGGCAGCCCAAAAATTCCGTTCCCTCTGCTCCCCCACCCAGCCCCCACCTCTTCCACCAAAGCGGATTCCATGGCGACCCTCACGTTCCCGGTGGCCGTCCGCGCCTCGCTCCGGAGCAGGTCACCGGCGGGACTTTCAGATCTGGCTGGCGGGGGCCTCTCCGAGGCGTTCGCAGACTGGGACTCTAGATTTGGGGAAGGGATGGGGAAAGAGGAGACTCCCGGATGGAGACAGAATGGTGGTGCAAGGCGAGGCAGGATGGTGCGGGCAACAGCAGCTGCGCGCCCGACCAGGCCCGTGGACCTCCGAGAGCCTGGGGTCCAGTCTGCCCCACCCCTATTCCTACTCCCACCCCCGAGAAAGCCTGTGGTCTGGGTACCTGAGGGGCGAGGGCCGCGGCGGCGGGGGGCGGGCTGGCCATCGGGAGCCTCCCGGGGCGCGCGGCAGCAGAGAGCGGCGGCGACACGCTGCACCCGGCTCCACGAGAAAGCGGGCGGCGCGGCCAAGCCCCAGCGCACTCACCGCGCGGAACCGGCCGCCACCGCCCGGGTGCCCCGGCCACCAGGCGCAGGGAACAGCGCAGCCCCTCCATCATGCCTGGGGGAGAAACTGTCTGATCCTCCAGAGGGGAATCTCCAAGCCCTAGTCCCAGCCCCCTGGGCAAGAGAGTGCAGGAACGCCTCTCCGGGAGCCGGCACTGAGCAAACATTCTTATTTACCAAACAACCGCACGGTGGGCCTGGAAACGCCCCTCTGCCCGGGGGAAGCCACCTCTGGGAAATTAATTTTCTTTAGGACAGATTTTCCTTTCACAACCCCACAAAAGGCAGTTTCTGCTTCCCTCCACCCCTCCTGCCCGGGGAGCTAACAACTGGGATTGCCCGTTATTCCTGGGCAGTTATCTGCCACTGACCCCCAACGCGCAAACTGAAGGAGAACGTGAATCCGGGCTTTAGATTTCTTTTCACCACCAACCAAGTCCGGTTTGCAAACTCCAAGTCGGATTTGCAAACTTGGGGTGTTAAAGGGCTGCTAGGCTCACAGCCCCTAAGACCTTTTTCTGCCCAAAGACCTCAAGGCCACTTAGACCCACTTAACCACCCCTCCACCCCCCATCCATCGGTTTCAGGCAAAGTAGACCACGAGCTCCTAACCAAGCGGCTTTGACAGTTTTTTGATGTTGGCGTGTGATAAAAAACATTTAGAAACGGAGCTGGAAAAGTGACATCGGAAAAGGAAACGGACGAATGTAATGGCTATGGTCTGCCGTGTGCTCCTGGAGCAATGTCAGACTAAATTATGAGCCTTTCTGGGCTTTTAAAGGAATAGGAAGTGGTGACTTGCGCTGATTTGATCTTAGAACGTGGGAGGGTGGTTAAACCCAGTCTGGTTTTAGAATTGATTTTATACAGCCCTAAAGTCAATATGGCTGTAATCTTATCGCCCAGAAATTACATACACTTCTCCCTTCCTCTCTCCCCTTGGTACTAGACATAGAAAAGCCTCTTATGCTGGGGTGGAGCCCTAACAGGTCACATGTCACTGGCAACCACAGTCTCTTGTTAAACAGATGTAAAATTGAACAATTGAAAGAAAATACAGATTAAGTATACTCAAGTATACTTTTGACAATTAAAAGAAAACATAGATTAAGTATACTCAAGGATACTGTTGAACTATTGAAAGAAAATATAAATTAAGTGTACTCCTACCCCAAGCAGAAAAATATGAAACGCTTAGTTGAAGAGTTACAAATTATTTGCATTCAAAAGTCTGGTTTAAATGTGTATGAGGATTCCCAGGTGGCTGAGCAGTAAAGAATCTGCCTGCCAATGCAGGAACCACAGGAGACCAGATTCTATTCCTGGGTCCAAAGATGGGGAAGATCCCCTGGAGAAAGAAATGGCAACCCACTCCAGTATCCTTGCCTGGAGAATCCCATGGACATAGGAGCCTGGCAGGCTACAGTCCATAGGGTCACAAGGAGTTGGACACCACTGAGCAACTGAGCACAAATGTCTATACCTTACTATTCATTCAAAGCCTGTTATTATTGTTTTATAGGTAGATACTAAACAGCTCCGATTTCCTTGCCATTTTAAGCAATGACCTGTAAGTGACCTTTAAGTGACCTGTAAATCCTCCCTATTCATCCAAGATAGCCTGTATCATACAAGAATGATGTTATTAAAGAATTACTACAGGGCCCCCCNAACAACTACATTTAGTCAGGAATTTTACAGAATTCCAACTGTGCACAAAGCAATATACAGATTTCCCCCCATTATTTGAAAGTAGAGGATGAAGCATTTCATAAGCTGAAATGGCATAAAGTGAAGAAACAGTTACCTTAGGACATTTCTTACTAATGTATGCACAAAATGAATCAAGTTAAAACACAGATACTCACATGGCCCATGAGGCTTGATCAAGATGGCAGAGTAGGGGGATACTGAGCTCACCAAACACACAAAGATATCAAAAATAACCTACATGTAATTCTTAGTGAAAAAGTGGAGACGGGCAGGAAGACTTCTCCATAACCAATACTGTAAAGAAACATTCACACAGATTCAGACAGGAAGGGAAAAGAAGCCATCCCCTAGAAGATGACACAGAATTGGGAGAGGGACAGATCACACAGGACCTGGGGAGATAAATAGTTTGAACTACATATTCGGCACCCCAGTCTTGGAATTCAACACAAGGAAGATGAACCCCTAGGATGATTTGAAGACCAGTGGGCAGTAGGACTGTGTGAAACTTGGACTCTGCTTGTGAATAGTGCACATAATCTTGCTTGCTCCCAAAACAAGGCAGAAGAAGCAGACTGAGATGGCACAGGACTCTGGCCCGTTTTGCATGACTACCCCAGCTTATGCACTGGCCTAAGTCAGCACCCAGTCTTGCACCTCTGGCTCTTCAGGACAGCTTCCTGGGAGGGAGAAGGCTGCCATTGCTGAGAAGAGTGCTCAACTGCAGGGGACTGAGCTGGCTCAGACCTGACATAGCATCTGAACAGCGTAGGGCAGCCATGACTGGCACTCCTGGAGGACGCAGACTGAAATTGTGACTGGTATGCCAGAACTTCCCCAAGCACATGCCTGACCAGCAGCAGGTGCACACTCCAGCCCTTCTTGATCCATCACTGCTCCCTTCTGGGGTGAAGTTACTGATGCTGGGAAGAGGTAAAGCACAGATTTAAAACAACAGGATCAGCTTGAACTTGAAACATGGGGCTTCTGCCTCAGGACCTTAGGACTCACCCCTAACCCTATTAGAGGTTGTCAGCCATTGAGCAAAAAACAGCCCTGATGCACACCAGACTCCTGACTTAACCCCTCCTTCTTCAACTCCACATCCCACCAAGGTGGTAGCTGTCAGCACACCCTCAGGGAAGATGTACCTCTTGTTCACTTCAGCTCCAGCTCTCCCACCAAAGCCACTGGACACAGACTATCCAGGGACTCGCCTATACAAAGACATCCCTTCAAGATTGGCATATGTAAAAGCTTCACCTAATTTCACAGAGATAAAGTTAAGCAAAATGAGAAGACAGAGAATAGAAAACAAGAAAAAAGCACTGAAAAAAACAACTAATGAAATATTCTTGTTTTTCTGTAGCTAATTTGTGTCTGACTCTTTGTGAAACCAAGGACTGCAGCATGCCAGGCCTCCCTGTCCTTCACTGTTTACTGGAGTTTGCTCAAACTCATGTCCACTGTGTTGATGATGCCATCCAACCATCTCAAACTGTGTTTCCCCCTTCTCCTCTTGCCCTCAATCTTTCCCAGCATCAGGGTCTTTTCCAGTGAGTTGGTTCTTTGCATCAGGTGACCAAAGTAATGGAACTTCAGCTTCAACATNGTTGGCTCTTCGCATCAGGTAACCAAAGCATTGGAGCTTCAGCTCCAATGAATATTCAGGACTGATTTCCTTTAGGATTGACTGGTTTGATCTCCTTGGTCTCCAAGGGACTCTCAAGAGTCTTCTTCAGCATCACAGTTCAAAAGCATCAATTCTTCAACACTCAGACTTCTTTATGGTCCAACTCTCACATCTGTACATGACTACTGGAAAAACCATGGCTTTGACTACACAGACCTTTGTCATCAAAGTGATGGCTCTGCTTTTTAATATGCTGTCTAGTTTTGCCATAGTTTTCCTTCCAAGGAGCAAGTGTCTTTTAATTTCAAGGCTGCAGTCACCATGCACAGTGATTTTGGAGCCCAAGAAAATGGAGTTAACCACCCCTATAAAACCTGATAACCCTATACCCTGGCACCTCTCTAGCCTCCTGAGTTGGCCCACACTCTGTCTATACAGTGTGTTTCTTCCCTGTATAAACCTTCTTTCACTTTACTATAGCTCACTCTTGAGTTCTTTCCTGTGTGAAGCCAAGAACTCAGACTTGGCAGCCATCTGAGGCACTCAGATGTGACCCGGGAAGTGACCATCCTCTCACACCCCACTCTCTTCCCTGAAACATTTCCTTTTTCAAATTACTTAATAGCACTTCCTTGGGGAAAGATCCTTGAGCCCTATCTAGGCTACATGGGCCCCTGGCTATTTATTTCTACAGAATTCTTTCCACTACAAAATAACTGTCATGCTTTATTCTAATTATTTGATTAAAGTTACTCTACTTTTGATGATGGGAAAGTGTGTCTATTTTGTTTGCCTAGCAATCTCCCCTCAACCAATGCCAGGCACACAAATGAGACTTTACTATCTGTTGAATTGCAGCTCTCAAATTTTTTAAAAGTGTGTCTTTAATATATTTTTAAATTTTAACTACTAAAGTTTACAAATGTAACAGGGCTACTCTATCGATAGATCTAGGCTTCTTTCTCCATAAAACTGTTCTAAATCTTTCTCCTTCCTTTTCCTCTCTTCTCTTCCACTATTTCATCTCTTCTCTTAACCAGCCATCCTATGGGCTTTCAACGTATTATGATTATTAAGGGATTGGATCAATGCTTTCCAACGT